TGGAGTTTCACCACGTTGGCCAGGCTGGTCTTGAACTCCTGACCTCAGGTGATCGCCCGCCTTGGCCTCCCAAAGTGCTAGGATTACAGGCGTGAGTCACTGCACCCGGCCTAATTTTTGTACTTTTAGTAGACATGGAGTTTCACCATGTTGGCCAGGCTGGTCTCGAACTCCTGACCTCAAGTGATCCACCCACCTCAACCTCCCAAAGTGCTGGGATTACAGTCTTGAGCCACCGCACCTGGCCCATCTTTGCTTAAATTATAAACTTAGTTTCTCCCACAGTCAGTGCAGCCTATGCCCAGGAATGTACAAGGACATCTTGGAGGTTAGAAGCAGGATGGAGTTGGTTAAGTTAGATCTCTTTCACTGTCTCAGTCATCATTTTGCAAAGGCAATTTCACAAGTAGGGAGAAAGGACTGGTAGATGCAGGGCAGAGACAGGGCTCTGAGCTTTGAGCCTGGATGATACAGATTTGGCAATACTATTCTAAGGAGAGACCAGAGAAAGAAGTTTAGGGTAGAAGGTAATTAATTTGAGTATGTTGAATTTGTCTTGCAGAAAAACCCTGTGAAGGAAACCTCTGGGAGGCTGTTGTAAATGCTGGGCAGGGGATGCGATGGGTCTAGAAATCCAGATTTGAAGCGACTTCTAGTCTATTGATAGCTGAAGCTCAAGAAGAGAATAAGATGAGCAGAGGTGGAGAAGAAAGAGAGAAGAGGACATCAGACTCTTGAGTAAATTCAGCTTAAGCTCAGGGAGGAATAAGAAAGGGAGACAGTGAAGGAGGTAGAAAAGGAACATTAGGAAGCCGGACAAATGAGAACGGGGTAGTTGACAATACCAATGAAGAGGGAGCAGAAGACGACTTTAATTCTTTCGGAGATGCCAGATTAGAAAAAAATAAGGAATGAGTGAGAAAAAAATGATGGAGTGATTAAACATTTACGTTGCTTTCCTTTGAGAAGGTTAACTATGAAAAGAAGAAAAGGGTGGTGGTGGCTGCAAACCATGGGAAGGCTGAGAAAGGGTTTTACCTTGGTTCTGCCTCTAATCCCTGACGCATTTAACCTCAAGCCATTTGCCTGTAAACATAACCGGCATAATGCCCATTTTACAGGACAAGTGCTTCCCTCTTAGAACATATACTCGAGGACAGCGGCCGTCCACGCCTTATTTACGTTCATCTTCCCAACACAACAGTCATTTGGAAGATGCCGACTGGCGTGGGAAGAACAAGCAGGAACGAGCGCCGACCCGCCCGCGGCCTGACTGCTAGCGCATCGCTGTGCAGCCGCCTCACCGCGCACTCCCTCCTGAATTATTCACCACCGAGAGGACTGTGATCGCCCCCATTCCACAGAGCACACGCAGTGAGGGAGGCGCAGTCACAGGCCCAAAGCCCCCAGTCGGCGGGTCTTGGAAATGGATGAGTTTTTCACTCAAACGCTGCGAGGCAACAAGGCACGTGGATGAGGAGGGAAGGGAGCCAGGGCCAATAATTCATCTCAAAGTAAAAGACGTCCCTGGGGGTGGTGAAAAAACAAACAAACAACGACAACAACAACAACAACAACAAAAAAGAAAAAAAAAAAAACCAAAACCGGCTCTGAGCTTCCGCGCTTGCGCTATGCTAGGTCCGCCAGGCTGCCGCCCAGCCCCTAGGCCAGAGTCTCAATGCGCCTGCGCCGAGGCCGACTTCCGCCAGGGCTCGATTGGGTTCCAGGCTACTTCTCCCGGCCTAGGGAGGGCCTGCGCTGTGGCGAGAGAAGGGAGTCTGGTGACTGGGTGCGCGCGTGCTGATGACGAAATCGGAAGTGCCCGGAGCAGAGGCGGGACCAGAACCTAGAGGGGCTCGGGATTGCGGAAGTTTGGTGGGGAGGGTCCGAGTGCTACTGGAGAGTGTTGTCTGAAAACAAGTTCCGGAAGGGAGGGTGCTGCTCGTGCTCCGAGAACCACCGGCCTCCCCAGTTTGGGGGCTGTTACCCCGGGCGCGGTTCGACGTCGCTGCTGTTGGCTCTTCTCGCCCCTCGTTCCCCTTGGGAACCGCCTGGGAACTCCGCCATGTCATCCACTTCGCCCAACCTCCAGGTATCATTGCTCATCTCCCGTCCCCCTAGGGAGCTGGGACCCAGGGGAGGCGCGAGAAGCGGGTGGGGGGCGGGGAGAAGGGAGGAAGCGGCCGCGCCTGTGGTCGGGAAGGAGGAGGGCGGGTCCGGGGACCTGCCGCAGGTGGGAGAGGGGCCCGTTTTCTAGCGGAAAGGTCTTTTCTGACCCGCTCTTGGGGTCTCCCGAGCCACTGACTTTGTGATACTCCTCCCTTTTGTTGGGTCTTCACGTCCCCAAACCAGCCAAGATCTGGGCAGGTCTCTTCAATCAGGGTTAAGGGAGAAAGAACGTAATTTTTGCAAAGCCCTGTTCTAGACCAGTTGAAAATAGAGTGGTCATAGTTTGGTCTTAGTTTCTCAAGCTGACAGCAGACGCCTTCATTCTGAGCTGTCAGGTGAGTAGAAATATGGGAACAGACTAAGAATCTGAGATTACAGCCAGGCTACATACAGTCTGCGTGAAGTCATTGAATTTATGTGCAGTCTCCTGTGGCTCCCAGATTGCAGTGTGTAAGATCGAGGACTGTTCTTAAACTTCTGTGTGGCTCCAGTTCCCCTTTTCTACCGCAATGAGCACAGTGTTTTGTACACAAATCATGGAATCTTAAGATTTTAGGCTTAATTGTTAGTCTTCTGTGGAATGGAATTCTTTCAGAAAAGAAATTCATGTAATGGTGTCTCCCGTCCCCAGAATGGATCTAGGGCTTCAGTGGAGTTTAGAATGTAATGTGACTTAATGTAGAGGACTCCCAGTCCAGTAAGTCAATAAGGGAAGAAAGTAGCCTAAAATACTTGTATTGAATCCCCGTCTTGGACTTCCGGTAGGTTGTTGAACAAGCATTTATTGGAGTGCCTGATAGAGGCATCAAAGGTAATGGAAGAACTCCTTAGTCCATGATAATTGATTCTGAAGAAAGACCACTCAAAGTAGACCCACTTAAACAGAGATTAAAATTTCAAGTACGCATACACAAAAAGAGTGGGAAAGGAGGCTTGCTTGGGACTTTTGTCTTGAAAATCGACCTGGAAGATTATAAAAAAATTTTTTTTAATCTTTCACAAAATAATTGTATAATTGCAGCA